ATGCAGTGAGAGATACAGTGAGAGGAGCAGGAGCAGGAGCAGTGAGAGATGCAGTGAGAGATGCAGTGAGAGGTGCAGGTGCAGTGAGAGATGCAGTGAGAGGTGCAGGAGCAGTGAGAGATGCAGTGAGAGGTGCAGGAGCAGTGAGAGATGCAGTGAGAGGTGCAGGTGCAGTGAGAGATGCAGTGAGAGATACAGTGAGAGGAGCAGGAGCAGTGAGAGATGCAGTGAGAGGTGCAGATGCAGTGAGAGGTGCAGGAGCAGTGAGAGATGCAGTGAGAGGTGCAGGAGCAGTGAGAGATGGAGTGAGAGGTGCAGGTGCAGTGAGAGATGCAGTGAGAGGTGCAGGAGCAGTGAGAGGTGCAGTAAGAGGTGCAGGAGCAGTGAGAGATGCAGGAGCAGTGAGAGATGCAGTGAGAGGTGCAGGTGCAGTGAGAGATGCAGTGAGAGGTGCAGGAGCAGTGAGAGATGAAGTAAGAGATGCAGTGAGAGGTGCAGGTGCAGTGAGAGATGCAGTGAGAGGTGCAGGAGCAGTGAGAGATGCAGTGAGAGGTGCAGGAGCAGTGAGAGATGCAGTGAGAGGTGCAGGTGCAGTGAGAGATGCAGTGAGATATACAGTGAGAGGAGCAGGAGCAGTGAGAGATGCAGTGAGAGGTGCAGATGCAGTGAGAGGTGCAGGAGCAGTGAGAGATGCAGTGAGAGGTGCAGGAGCAGTGAGAGATGGAGTGAGAGGTGCAGGTGCAGTGAGAGATGCAGTGAGAGGTGCAGGAGCAGTGAGAGGTGCAGGAGCAGTGAGAGATGCAGTGAGAGGTGCAGGAGCAGTGAGAGATGCAGGAGCAGTGAGAGATGCAGTGAGAGGTGCATGTGCAGTGAGAGATGCAGTGAGAGGTGCAGGAGCAGTGAGAGATGCAGTGAGAGATGCAGTGAGAGGTGCAGGTGCAGTGAGACATGCAGTGAGAGATACAGTGAGAGGAGCAGGAGCAGTGAGAGATGCAGTGAGAGATACAGTGAGAGGAGCAGTGAGATATGCTGTGAGAGGTGCAGGTGCAGTGAGAGATGCAGTGAGAGGTGCAGGAGCAGTGAGAGATGCACTGAGAGGTGCAGGAGCAGTGAGAGATGCAGTGAGAGGTGCAGGTGCAGTGAGAGATGCAGTGAGAGATACAGTGAGAGGAGCAGGAGCAGTGAGAGATGCAGTGAGAGGTGCAGGAGCAGTGAGAGATGCAGTGAGGGGTGCAGGAGCAGTGAGAGATGCAGTGAGAGGTGCAGGTGCAGTGAGAGATGCAGTGAGAGGTGCAGGAGCAGTGAGAGGTGCAGTGAGAGATGCAGGAGCAGTGAGAGATGCAGTGAGAGGTGCAGTGAGAGGTGCAGGTGCAGTGAGAGATGCAGTGAGAGGTGCAGGAGCAGTGAGAGATGCAGTGAGAGGTGCAGTGAGAGGTGCAGGTGCAGTGAGAGATGCAGTGAGAGGTGCAGGAGCAGTGAGAGATGCAGTGAGAGGTGCAGGAGCAGTGAGAGATGCAGTGAGAGGTGCAGTGAGAGATGCAGTGAGAGGTGCAGGTGCAGTGAGAGATGCAGTGAGGGGTGCAGTGAGAGATGCAGGAGCAGTGAGAGATGCAGTGAGAGGTGCAGTGAGAGATGCAGGAGCAGTGAGAGATGCAGTGAGATGCAGTGAGAGATGCAGGAGCAGGTGCAGTGAGAGATGCAGGTGCAGTGAGAGATGCAGGAGCAGTGAGAGATGCAGTGAGATGCAGTGAGAGATGCAGGTGCAGTGAGAGGTGCAGGTGCAGGTGCAGTGAGAGATGCAGGTGCAGTGAGAGGTGCAGGTGCAGTGAGATATGCAGGTGCAGTGAGAGGTGCAAGAGCAGTGAGAGATGCAGTGAGAGGTGAAAAAACTGATTAGCTTTTTCCTGGAATGCTTTTGAATGTGAACATTACTGTACATGTGGACATACCGTTCCCAACCAAGAAATGTACACTGTAAACCCTAATGTTGTCTTTACTTAAACAATCAAGTGTACTTGACTAAACATTACTTTAAATTTAGCATTTTGCCCCTGTCACTCAAAAATATAAGTTCAAATAACTTACAAATAACAAATAAACTTAAGATTTCAAGTGCTGTGAGCTCAAAATCCTGATTAATCCTTACTAAAGGTCATTTTCATAAATGTTGTTTTCTTGACTGTGAAATGAATACATTCATACATGCTTTCTTCAAGTGCAAGGTGTCATTCTTATTTTACCAGAAAACAAATGGCTTTCATTATATTACAATTATTGATCGTAATGGAAATAAACAGATTTTTATTTTTAAATCTGATACTTTAAACTTGATAAATAAACTTTAATACCCATATACAAGTGTTTTTGTAATACAGTACATCTCCAGTGTTTAATTTACACATTTCAGTGTTTATATGAGTCCACACTCAAGAGTGTTATAAGTAACACTGAACCAGTGTTAAAGTTAATGAGATAATTAAGTGATTAATTGAGTGATGATTGAGCGTCATTTGTACAAGTTCTGAAAGTTAACACTGAAAACACTAATAAGTTGATTGAACTCAATTGATTTGAGTAAACTCGTTCCCTCAATTTAATTGAGTAATGGGGTCTCCCAAAACGTGCATATTTAAGTGTACTTAACTTGGTGCTTATGTAGACTTGACTTAAATTGTTTAGTTCACCAAACTTGACGATTATTTAATGTACTTAAACAATAAAGTTAACTTAACTTAGTGTTGATTTCAAGTGTACTTGTATATTTAAGTGCACAGCAAAATCCCCAGTGTTAAATTAACACTGCTCAGTGTTTATATCAGTCCACACTCAAGAGTGTTATAAGTAACACTGAAGCAGTGTTAAAGTTAATGAGATAATTAAGTGAATAATTGAGTGATGATTGAGCATTATTGAAGTTACCTGATGTTAACAAGCAGAATCACTGAAGGAGAAAACCATCATTTTTAAGTCACCATTATGGTGATAAGTGTTTGGTTTAGTTGGGCTCTTGATCATTAACTTTATATTTTGTTTGACTGCTGTAACTCAGTTATAACAGCCAGGTGAACAAATAGAAAAGGTGATCTGATGGTGGTGATTGTGTTTTAACCTAATCATTATTTCACAATCTTTTGACCTGAATCCTTAACTAAACTCATTTAAAGCCCAATTTCTGAATTAGATTTATGTTATTAATTATAGCAACACTGTCAACAAGCATTACATTTTCAACGATTACATCATAATGCAAACAATTTCTTTGAAGTTGTTCTTATACATATTACTGTATATTATTTTTAGACACACAGACATCAAGATTTAGCGTATGAATCTCAGCAATGGTGATAAACAGATAACCTCTGAACATAAGCTCATTATTTATTCATGCAGCAATGCATGATGGGAGCCATGAATGAGTTTTGATTGGTGGCACCCAGAATGCACTGCAATATGCTTTATGTCACCATTGTTGAGATTCAGAGGCTGATTCTTGATCTCTATGTGTCTAAAATAATATGATCTACATATTTTTTATTATAACAACCTTAAAAGAGAATATTTTGATTAAAATTTAAATGTTACAAATATTATATAAAATATAAACAGTGCAGGTGAACATGATTCAGCTTTATATGACTTCAAAGATTAAATTCCATTCATTATGAAATAATGATTATGTTAAAACACAATTACCACCATCAGATGACCTTTTCTATTTGTTCATCTGGTTACAACTGAGTTACAGCCATCAAACAAAATATAAAGTTAATCAGTTAAGGGTCAAGAGTCCAACTAAAGCAAACACTGATCTCCACAACGGTGACTTAAAAATTATGGTTTTGTCCTTCAGTGATTCTGCTTGTTAACATCAGGTGTCTTCAATAATGCTCAATCATCACTCAATTAATCACTTAATTATCTCATTAACTTTAACACTGCTTCAGTGTTACAGTCTACATAAGCACCAAGTTAAGTACACTTAAATATACACGTTTTGGGAGACCCCATTACTCAATTAAAATGAGGGAACGAGTTTACTCAAATCAATTGAGTTCAATCAACTTATTAGGGTTTTCAGTGTAGTGTAAAAACGGTGGATTGCATGTTTTGCATGCAAATACCTGTAAAACTGAAACATCAAAGTCTATGCAGTTTTTGTAATGTCAACAATAGCCAGTATTTTGAAACCTGGTGTACTTTGATTGACTGCAGGTACCTTGTGAAGTGAAAACAAGTGTTATTCTTTGACAGAATAATTTAATTTTGAGTCAGATTTCCAGTGTTTTGGTAAAGTTAGTGTGTGCAGAGAAAGATGTGTTCTCTTTTGAAATGAAGAGTTAGTATGTATTTAACAAAATGTGTTTTTGAGAAGAAAATTATCCATTTGGCCAATTGTGTTTTGTAGGTGTGAGTATGTGTTAAGAGTTTAGAAAAAGTATCTGAAGTATGGGTAAACGCTTGTTAGCGATTGAAAAAAACTGTAAACCGAGATCATTGTTTATGGCTATGAACCTAAAAGTTAAATAAAAAATAATTGTACAGCAATGATTACACAGGTTATACACCTCAATTTAATTTAATTATATATATATATATATATATAAAATATGAAAACTGTTTTCACAAAGCACGGGTATTTTTCATAAATGTCTTTTGGGGAAGGTTGCTAACTGGTGTCATATATATTTTGTAATTTTATACAATTAATTAATTCTATTTTCTGTTAGCCAGAAGAAGGTTTTATATTTATGTCCATTAATATTTTTTTTTCTTCTTTTTACTGTTTTGTGGATGTCATTAATGATTTATTCTTTAAATATTGATTGGGGGAAAAACAACATAAGAGGGAGAAATCACATTTTCCTAGATTTTCCTAGAAAACAGACTGCCAGTCTAAAAAGAGCAAGTATGTAAAAAGTATTTAATTTGAAATATATATATATGCGTTTTCAAAACCCACTTCCCCAATAACAGAAGTTCAATTTTAAAAACGCATCTCAAGACCCCATCAGAACTTATTGTTAACAGGTTGTGACCAGCTTTAAAAATATTCTTAAATAAACATCCACCATGTTTCATGTCTTTGTAAACAGAAATCTGTGTTTCTCATTTTTGTTTGTTTGTGCTTCCATCCCAGACAGGGATATTGAGATACTTTTATGTATCCCAAATGATACTTTTAGGAAAGTTTGGGATACCTTTATGTGGGTCTCTTTACGTCCTTCCAGATGTCTATTAGCTGCTGTGGGGATCCTAGGATTGTTGTAATAACCCTGAGAAAATCCTCTCGATTATATTGTCCCAGATAGGCTCTAAACTGTGAAGGGTCTGGGGGGGATAAGGGTGCAATGCCCACATGTTTCACACAAGCGCCCACATATGCGTCTTCTATGTTGAAGGGCTTTATTTCCTTGGAAGCCTCAACTATTTTTTCTGGCAGGTCATTGGAGAAAACATATCCCATTCCCAGCAGGTAAGTGGGGTATTTCAGTTCGGGGTAGAGCTCCTCTGACACGTACCATTTAGAATTTTTGTCTCTGACGACAGGCCGGTCCCACATCACCATTCCAGTGATGTAGTTCTGTCTGGGTGTGTTGGGTGCCAATAGAAGAGTCATCAAGTTTTCCATGTTTAAGTACATGTCAGAATCGACCTTCATACTGAAATTGGCTTGAGGACAACGAGTGGCCAACCAGTCCATGATCACCATCGTCTTTATGGTCAGGTTTAAGTATGAGTCCACAAAGTTGCTCTGCAGTAAGTCTCCGTGTTGTCGGCTCTCTTCCTCCAGCTGCTGTTGAGCTTTTTCAGAGTCGGATCCTCCAGTCAAACCCACCAAGAACAGAGTCATCACTGCTTTTCCCTGGACTGTGCTCTCATTCCCCCACGTGCTCCGGATGGCGTTTCGAGCTTCTACCTGATGGGGCGCCACAGGGACCATCAAGACCAGGAATGGATTCTGCTGACATTTATCAGGTTCATCCAGAATGTAATGATAGTTGCTTGGATGAGCTATATGATAATAAATTGTTGAACCTCTTTGTTGTATTTGCTGATTGGGCAAATGTGCTAATGTATCTTTTTGATTATGATCGGTCCAAATGCTGTCAATTACCTTATATTGAGTCTGATTCATGATTTTAGTAAACCATGTTTGAGGGAACATAATTGTGTCCAAAGTGAAATCAGAGGCGTAAGCAACGGCAAACAATAAGAATGTCGATGTAAGCAGCAGAAAAAATGCCGTTTTAATTTGATGTATAATTGGACCTCTATCCTGAGCCAAACTGCATAGAGAAAAACAAAAGAGAAACAGGTCAAAATTAGTCTCACAGTGAAACATCAGAATTTTTTAATTAAAATATGATTTATCACAAAAATAACACTGTTGCAAATCGTTAACTATGGTTACACGTTACATCAGTTAGTTATGATAGTGATTTAAGTTTCATGAACTTTAAGTAGGCCTACACAGCTTTTGTCAGAAATATTGACATGGACATCACTTAAAGATAGTTTGCAGTAAGTTGCATTCTTTGTCTGATTCAGAGAATTTGTTAATTGAATGAGTCATCAGTCGGATTCAAATGGCATAGGATTTCCAAATCTCGGGCTGGAGGATGGAGGGGCGAGAAAACACAGAATTGTTACGTGCGAAACAATTCTGAACAATTCATTAAAGGAACTATCTCATAAGAGTCATTTGTTCATAGATTGCAGGCGAAAAATTCCTGTATGACTTTTTTTGCCGCAATTTCGAAGAACGCATCTGATGTAGGCTCTTTGTTCATGACGTTAGGAAATAGTCGTCATCATAAATAGTGGGGGAAAGCAACCTCGTCTGTGAATCCAAAATGGTGGTATGTACAGTCTGGGTTTTATTACATTTATGAATAACGGTAGAGAAATAAGTTCTTCATCAAATGCAGAAGTGTTTTGACTATAGCCCTACTGCATTTCAAGATCTTTGATGGAATCTAGAATTGATGCTTGCAGGTGATTTCATTTCCTGGTAAAGCCAACTTAAAATATTTTGAGTCAATAACAAGACATCCAATTTGTTGTACACCTAAATACACCTCTTAGATCATCGGTTCCCTTTCGTAGTCACTTCGAGTTACGTTGAATGACGACGAAATGGGGGTTTCGCTTAGAAGCCTATCACCTTCGAGTGTTAAAAAACGAGCCAATGGCAAAGAAATGCCATGGGTTTGCAGAATTTGCATAGCGTAGCTCCGCCCCACCTCGTGGGTATATAAGGAAGAACGCTGGCAAGATGCAGATATGTTTCTGCTTTGGAACCAAGAGGTCCTCTTCACTCCTGCAAGCCTGATTTCTCTGCCTGTCATTGAGTGTCTTTGAGACGAGCAGCTCTTTTGTCTGTGTTGGTGCAAAGGCGATTTCCAGCGAGATTCACATCCCTGCCTGCTGATCTGTGCAGAGGTCTGCATCCAGCGTGTGTGTTTCTCCCTGGCCGCTTCAGCGTAGGCTGCTGAGCGTCCTCTCACAAAAAGAGATTGCACGGGCACGTCTTTTTCAAGATCTCTCGCCCGTGTATTTCTGGGTGCGGTCGTTCCATTTCTCCCTCTGATGGGCATGATCGCTGCCTTGCGTGTTTGGGCTTAGAACACGCTAAGGCAGCTGTCATGGGTGAGTCATGTTCTCACTGCGGGAACATGACCATCGCTGCGTTGAGATCGAGACTCCATGATCTTACTAAAGGTAGAGTCCCCTCTGCCACACCCCGATCTACCCCCTCCTCGAGAGCTGGTACTTCGGCTGGTGGCCAGGGTGATCTGAGGGTGACGGTGTGAAATTCTGCCCCGGCGATGCTTCCTCGGGCCACACCCCCCTCACCAGCGCAGCAACCTGCGAGTTTCTCAGGTGCAGCCGCGGGGCCGTCTTCGGATGTGCCTCTCCTATCATTCGGGGCTCCAGAGGAGGATATGATGTCGATCGCCGCATCACAAGGCGAGCTGGAATCTTCTGGGGATGAAGATTCGGCTGTGCTGCCACCCTCCAGGGTCCCAGCATTGTCCGAGTCTGACCCGGAACTGACAGCTATGCTCTCCCGGGCCGCCGCGAGCATCGGGTTAGCGTGGAACCCTCCACCCTGCCCTGAGCGCTCACGCGATCCTGGAAGGCCCCGTTGTCTTCCGGCGATCGTTCGGCGGCCTCCTCCGCCTTCTCTACCCTTGATGAGGCCGAGGTACACTGGGGTTCCTCCTGTTGAGAGCTCTGTTGCGATGCAGTTGTGTCCTCAGAGTGCTTCTGTCATGGTGTGGTGACCCAAAGCACCCCTCCAAAGCCTGTAGGTTTTCGTCTACCTTGGTGGCGAAGTCCTACAGACTTGCGGGGAACGCCGCCGCCTCGCTGCATGCCATGGCCATCCTCCAGGTCTACCAGGCCAGGATGCTCAAGGACATGCACGAGGGTAGAGCTGACCAAGGGCTCTTTGATGAGCTGCGTGCCACCACCGACCTTGCTCTCCGAGCGATGAAGGTGACCGCACGCTCCCTTGGTTAGGTGATGTCCACAGCTGCGGTCCAGGAATGACATCTGTGGCTTAACCTGGCCGATATACGGGATGCTAAGCGGACCCGTCTGCTCAACTCCCCCATATCCCAGGCAGGCCTATTCGGCGGTGCAGTCGAGGACTTCACCTAAAAGTTCTCGGCTGCCCAGAAACAGACTGAGGCTATTAAGCATATACTGCCCGGGCGGCCAGCTGCTGCCTCCACCCAGCCGCCGGCTCAGTCCACTCAGTCTGTTTGCCGCCTAGGACGCCCTCCTGCGACTCCCGCCCCTCCCGCATGGCCCCAGCAGCAGCCTTCACCCAGGCCGCGCCGTGGAGGTAGTCGCAGGAAGGCGTCCCAGTCCGCTCAAGCCCCGCCGCCCGCTAAACGTCAGGCCAAGCGGCGCTCCTGATGCGGCCAGCTCAGAGATGGGCTACAGTTCTGTCAAGGAGGTGGTAGCAGGACCACTCCTTCCCCGGGTGGAGGGCTGGGGGAGAATCTTTTGTGGTTTTTAAATATAACGCACATTTTTGTTCATTTAGCCTACTTTTATACATTGTAAGCATTTAATAATTTATTTGTAATAAACACTGGACTACCACCTAAGTGTTAGGACTATTATGTTAAATTATGTTGTAAAACATATGCGCAGAGTGTGAGGTCATATTGTGTGTGCGCGTCTATGGTGCGCGTAGAAAAAATTCGTCAGCAGCCTCTCAAAAAAAAAACATTTGTCCGTTCTACTCCTGACCGCAAGTCCACCGTCAGTGTTGTAGGTAGGCACTAGGCAGGTTTTCTGTGTTCATTTCTATTGTATTACTTGAAAGCAGTATCAATAATGTTAAAAATATGATGTGCAGTCAAGTTTTGGTGTGTGTGCTGTTTAAATGAGTGTTCTCACCGATACGCTTGTTGTTATTCGCAGAGTTTTGACGAGTAGTATTTTGACGACTAGAATCCAGCGCTGACTAGAATCACGCAGCGGCGGAATGGATAGTCACAAGCCATTAAAAAGTATTGACCTAAGAAACACTTATATTTTCAATAAATCATGTTGCCATTCACTGCGGCGACGAATTTTAAAATGAATTAAACTAAATTCTATTTATAAGGTAAAACTTAAAAAAAAAAATGTTAGGCATTATCAATGCCAATGCCTAATGCCAAAATGTTTTCTTTGTTCACCAAGTAATTTACTTGTCAGGCATTTTTTGTTAACTCGCAAGACAGTAAGGAGAAAATGACAATTTGATGGATAATTTAAATATATTCTGTAATCACATTTTGGTAATGTATTAATTCCGCCATTACATCTGAGCGCAAAACACTGCTTGGATAGTTTCAAGATAGTTAAAAATAATTAATAATACAATAATAATTTAATTTAATTTAATTAATCATATGTGTTTATTCTTGTTAGAAGATTTTCTTTTTTTTACTGATTATGAACACAAATTAATCACGACAAACCAAATTAATTGTAATTGTATTAATTATACCATTGATAAAAACCAGCTGATACCAAGGTATTTTAGGCCTACAATTCTAACATAATTTTTCATGAAAAATCATGATTGTATTTATTTATTTTTCGAAAGTAAGGTTAATGTAAGTAGTTTCTTGCAATACTCTCCTAAATGAGTAATAAAACCTACGTGCAAACATTACCGCTTTAATGACCGTCCTTTATTTTTCAGTGCATTTGTTTTACAATATATGGCTATTACTGTCATGGGATTAATATTATAACTATTATTATGTAGTAGTGTAATGTAGACAGACACAACTAAAAGAGGTTTGAATTTTCCTTTGTTTAATTTGCACACTGAATATGGGTTGGAGCTTTTAATTTTGAACTCTCAAAGTGCACCAGATTGTTGAATTTAACATTAAAATGCACAAAATTTTCTTACAGGGGGGCATGCCCTCGAACCCCCCTAGAAGGCCCGAGGACCACCAACCACAGATTTAACAAAAAACCTGTGAGAAACACTGCTATTGCTATGCCAATGCAACTTATAGATTTTTTAATCACTGTGGATTGTATTGTTCAATTGTATTAATAAATGACAATTTTGTACTTATTTCATCTGTTAACTCTCACTTGTTCTTGCTCGCTCATAACATGGCATTAGTTGGGGGACCTGGATATTTTATAGGGGGTGCTGGCCCAAAAAAGGTTGAGAACCACTGCGCTAGAGCATCGTCCACGACTCGTCAGTACATTAAATTTCTATTTAGCTGTGACAAAATGCAAAAAATGTATAAACAGTCTTCTGGTGGACAGGGTAAAATGCAAGATTATTGTGATGGTGCGCAATATGCTGGACATCCTCTGTACAAAAACCATCCCAATGCATTACAAATTCAATTATACTTCGATGATTTGAAAACAACAAATCCTCTTGGAACGAAAACAAAGATTCATAAAATGGGGGCAGTTTACTTTGTTTTACGAAATGTGCCATCAGAGAACAACTCTGTACTTCCCAATATCCATTTATGTCTTCTATTTAATTCTATTGATAAAGACATTTATGGTTTTGACAAAATTCTGGAACCATTGTTAACAGATGTCAAAGAAATTGAGCAGAATGGTATAGATGTCACAATAGGTGATGAATGCCAATTACTTTATGGGACTGTGTGTCTGTTGACGGCAGACAATCTTGCCTGTCACTCCCTCTGTGGCTATGTGGAAAGTCTCTCTGCAAACAGATTTTGTCAGTTTTGTATAATTGACAAACCAACTTCGCAGTATATTTTTGATGAAGATAGCGCTGAGAGGCGTACAAGGGAAAACTATGCATACCATGTACAGCTGAATGCTGCAAGTGCAACTGGTGTCAAAGTTAACTCCTGTCTAAATACTCTACAGTATTTCCATGTAACTGAAGATTTTGCCGTGGACAAAGGGGTTCTCTTTTGTGTTAGAGGGAGTCGCACCTCTTGAGGTCAAATTGATGCTTCGACATTTCATTTATGAGGAGAAAACATTTTCTCTGGAACAACTAAATGAAAGAATAGCAGGGTTTGGCTATGGATATGAAAATCAAAAAAATAAACCCATGTAATTGTTAATCTGAAGACGTCTGAAAATGCTATTAGGCAAACTGCATCACAGATGTGGTGTTTACTGCTAGTGTTGCCTTTTCTGATGGGTGATTTAAGTGATCCGAACAGCCCAGATTGGCATCTTTACCTGTTATTGAGGGAAATTTGTGACATAATTTTTGCACCTGTTGTGACAAAAGGGCTTGCTGTTTATCTTAAACAACTGATCACCACACAATTCAAATTTCTTTATCCTGACAGGAATCTAATTCCTAAACACCATTTTATGACACATTACCCGAGCGTCATGACTTTATTTGGACCTCTTTCCAAGTTGTGGTGCATGAGGTTTGAAGCGAAACATGACCCCCTTATGCGACAGGCCCAAGTAGTGTGTAACTTCAGAAATATTTCAAAGACTCTAGCTCATAAACATCAGATTCAGCAAATGTACAACTGGAAATTGAGTTCACCACTCAATTTTGAAATGACAGTACCCAATGCTTTCCCGGTTATGATTGCATCTTTGTACAAGAGCGACAAATTGCTTGACAAACTGAAGACAGACTCCCATTTTTAGACTCTCACTTTAACCAGTTCAATTCATGTGACCAATAATATTAATTTCTTGGGGACATCATACAGGACAGGATACATTCTGCCTTTAAAAGCAGATGAAAGGAGAGAACCTTTATTTGGTGAAATTATACACATAATCCCCCAAAATGAAAGTGAATGTGCACTTATGTTCCTGAGAGTTTTAAAGGTACAATATTTTGATGAGCACCTGTTTTCTTTTAATGTCATTAAAACCAAAGAATTTGATGTGGCAAAGCTGCCTGGTGACTTAATGGACTATAGACCATTAGATTTTGTATTATTTTGTGATCAGCAATATATCACTCCCAGATACAAAATTTTGTTTTAAATAAGTTAGTGTTAGCTTAATTTATTAGACATGTTTGGTTAATGATGGATTTTGATTTGTGAGTACGAAATGTGAACTATGTGTGTCTGTGGTTATTTATTTGACTACAATTTTCAAGTTTATTCGTATATTTCTGTTTGTTGTTATATTTGAGAACAAGCTGAGTAAGTTTGGTCTTATTTTGGAAATGGTTTCAGACTTTGTTCTATTTGACATTGTATTTTAGTACCTAACATATATGAGTTTTATAATATTTGATGTAGGCCTAAGTTGTTGTTTAAAGTGTTTGATGAATGTTTTATATGATTAATGTTTTGAAATGCTTATTTTTTAACAGTATTTTTTACAATATGAATTCCATGTAGAAACCAGAAAAAATGCAAAATAAACACAGTATGTGAACCGTATTCAATGCTTCAGTGTGATTTCATGATAACTGTACATATTGTATTCTGATCTAGCTTTAACACACAGTTGTGTTAGATGTTTACAAAAAGGACACAAGGTTAGGTTAACTAAAGGTTACACATTTGTCTGTGTGTTTTCACAACACATATTCTTTGTTGTATTTTAACACAATATGTGTTGTCCCTGAGCAGTTAACTGCCAATACCACATTTGTGTTTCCCTTTTCTATCACATATTGAAAGACACTGAACAAAACAAAGTGAAATTATATATATATATATATATATACACACACAATCACACATACACATCTGAGCTCCTCCATCTAATCTCAGATATACAGTATTCAACGTTTAGCTCAGCTGCAGTCAAATGATTTAATCTGATTTTGACCCTTTTATTCAAAGGACATCAAATTATAAGTTCCTCTAGTTGAGAGATCTTCAACTCTGCTCCTGGGGACCCACTGTCCGGTAGTTTAGAGTATTTTGAAGCTCTCCAGGATCGCTTGAAAATACACAGGCAGGTGTGTTGAAGCAGGTTGGAAATAAACTTTAAAGGACAGTGTGTCGCCAGGAGCAGAGTTAAAGACCTCTGCTATAGTTTATAATAAGACGTTGTATGTAAACAACACAAATAACATTATAAAATATCTAATAATAAAACAAATAATTAAATGATGGGTTAGCTTACCTGTGCCAAATGTTTTTAATAGCCATTCTTGTGTGTTCAACTAGTAACCATACTACTTCACGTATTCCTTCCTGAATAGTCTCTTAGACCTAATAACCAGGAAGCATTTATTTTCTCTTGCACCTATGAACAAACCCACTGCTGAAACTTGTCCATCTTCAATGATAATACTCAATTTTGAATGCAATCATAGATTGATAGACATATATATATATATATATATATATATAGAGAGAGAGAGAGAGAGAGAGAGAGAGAGAGAGAGAGAGAGAGAGAGAGAGAGAGAGAGAGAGAGAGAGAGAGAGAGAGAGAGAGAGAGAGAGAGAGAGAGAGAGAGAGAGAGAGAGAGAGAGAGAGAGAGAAAAAGAGAGATAGAGAGAAGCTACAGACATCCAGAATCTATGGGAACATCCTCTCGGTATTGTTCTCATTATGGGGTTAGGTTTGTTGCCGTGAGTAACATAATAGCTGCACCTTTATCAGGAGCCCTGTTATTGTCAGAATGAATTTGATTCAAGTGAGGTGAAAAGTTGCTTTAAACCTTGAAGAGGAATAAATGCACAGAATGGAATAATACTTCCTTGCAAAATGTACTATAACAGACACTCCCAAATTTCTAGGGAACAAGGTGTATTTCCAATTTGTTTACTCTGATGATTAGAAACAATCATGAGCTTCACGGTTTTTCTTTGTTCAATAGGCTTAACTGTCTTCTTACAAATGGATGAGTTACAGAAATGTTGTGAAACCAGTATTTCTGTTTTTTTGTTTTTTTTTTGTTTTTTGAGTACTTTGATTTCTAACATTATTCTCTCAACAGACATTTAGATCGATAGTCTGGCGTTATAATTTATTTGCTTTTGGTGTACTGTGAAGTGGGTAAAACTGTTGTTAATGGCAGGCTAGCAGTTACCGTTGACTCGCGCTAGCCTAGCACCGGCGAACTATGCAACTGGAACGATTGGATGAAATTTTTTGAAAACTGTCTCCACTGATAAATAACACCCAGGCTAACTTGGAAATGAGGTCCGATGTCCAAAATCCTGAACCACCCCTTTAACAAACTGGGCATGGACCTTCATGATTCACATCTTTCCTACTCAACCAGACCGCCCACTGCGCTCCTGTCACACCCTCACTTGTATCCAGCTTTGTTCTCCTCAAACCCAGACGGCGGAAAAGATTGAGATCAGCAGAATCAAATCTTCAGGGACAATCTCAAGGCATCAGACGTCACACAAACTACAATAACTCATGCAGAATTACACATGGCCTTCAGGGGATCAATGATTTTGGGGCGGGAATGGTAGATATAAATAAATATATATATATATGTATATATACAGAGATGGCGACAAAGAGGAAAAACGCCAGACTGCAGCTTTAAGTTACTTTAATCAATCACAATTCAACAGACCGTTACAAATGAAAACATTTTCAAGCATTAACTAAATCCATTTTTACACTGCAAAGGTGGAACAAGTTGCATCTGACATGGCATTTATTATGTGTATTTAAGAATAAAAAAAATACAAAGAAGGTGTACACATCCCAAACACCCTGTGCACCTGAGCCCCGTTAGGGCGTTTGGGATGAATCTCTTGCATAAGGTAAATAGCCTATAAACATGAAGTCATTATAGGGGCGAAGCTGCAATATCATGACAAAATCATCATTGCTCTTGAAATTGTAATTATGATTATCAAGTCGACAAAGTTTTCGGGCTACAGACTGTAATGGACATTTTTAATCTAACCAGCTTATACCATATATGGTGTTAAAAGAAACTGCAAGCATAGCATCGTCTTCCTTATTTGCTGAAGACGAGTTGAGAAGAACATTCGCAGAAGAACAATTTGTTTCTCTCTAAAACGGATAAGCTCGCTTGCACTAAGAGAAAATGTGTTGCAGTGGAAAATATACTTAATGACGTAAGTGTGTGCGTACAACCTCATCACCCTATTTTGAGAGAACAACCGGCTGGATGTACATTATCCCTTACATAAATCATTAAATACATGCATACATAGGTTACAGTATGTATGGTATAATTAATCCTTAGGTAGGGTGGAACATAGGCTTCTATTACAGGCACTCATATGCAATAGTTAGATGAGGTATTATAAGCCATTGGCTTACTTTTGTTCTCCCTTTTCTGAATCGTTTGTTCATCTATTCAAAACTAGAATGTTGCTGGATCCAGTCCAGACAGTTCAGCTGCTGCAGCAAAGTCACATTGCATGGACGTAGGAAGACAGCAATGAGAGAGACACACACACCCTGACACAGATGCTGCCAGTTTCTTAAAACTGGCACTAATTATCTATTAGGAGGAACCTGTGGAACAGGTGGCACACACACCTTTTCACCACACACACAAATGCACATGCAGCACACACTAGCAACACTTCAGCATACTTTAAGTTACAAATAATTGTAGGTTATATTATAATAAAGGATTTAAAAATGTAAAAATATGTTGGCACACACACACACACACACACACACACACACACACACACTATCACTGCTGCTACTATTTATAGTTTTTGCTATATATTCTATCCTCTTTTGTGCTATTGTTATTACTTGTTTGTATTCATGTGTTTCAGTTCAGTTCAATTCAATGTTGAGAGAGCAGTCAGTGAGAAAACATTTTGCTGCAATGTTTTCATTTTGTGTTCATTAACTAGCTGGAATCAGTACAGCCAGAGACCCCTGCTTTTCCAATACCAGTTCTGTGAGGAAGGATGCTATGGTAGGCCTAGCTAGCAGAGAGGGGGGAGTTTGGTAGAGGTAGGGAAAAAACAGTGACACACAAATGTACTTTGGGTTTGTAATTAACTCTACATTGTAATTAACTCTAATATAGCAGACAAACGGCATAAACAGACAGCACACAGACTCTACAACATCCTCAGATTCTTTTTCTTTGGTTTTTACTGTATGTGTAAATTTGTTAAACGTGTGCTCTTTAAAAAGTATAGCATTGTTTGCCAGTCACATAGCCTACCGGTACATTAAATGTTTGAATATCTGTTACATTCAGTACTGCTTATTATTTCACCATCTGTACACAAATGTAAGCAGTGAATGTGCCTGTCTGTGGGTGTGGTAATGTGGGCTGGTGTGGCTATGTGCCAGGGCTGAATTTTTGTCCCAGTCCGCTAATATGTAGTATTTCAATATTGTTGTGTTTTGATTTAGAATATACATTTTTTATGAAAAAAGTCAATTTTTTAATGATGGTTAGGGGAGAGCGGGGCACATCGTAACGCGGGGCTAGTTGTAACACACTTGTTTTAAATACTTCCACACTAGCATGACGAAACTTAGTGTATTTACTAGTTGCCATATCAACACTAGGCTATATATAGAATAAATTGCGCCAAAAATCTTTGGAAGATATCACTGAACATTTATTTAACCATGGCAAAAGTCAATTTCTTATGTTAATTTTTCGCGTTACAATGAGCCCCTTTTAGAACTACGCTATTTTATTCTATACTTTTATGAATTATATTGAGAAAACATGAGAAAAAGGTGAATAAAGACAGAGTCGATGTTCAGACATTATTAATTATCATTATGTTTTGAACGGTGTTGTATAACTGTTTTCCGGTGTGTTCGTTGTCAAACTCAAAAATGTGTTTATTTTTAATTATTAAAACATTGCATTATTTTATATGGAAAAAGTTAATAATGGTATTTTATTCAGACAATATTTTAGTTTGTCTTGTATATTTTTTTTGATTAGATCAGATAGCATTTTAAGCTGTCACATGGTCATGTTACAATGTGCCCCTCACATGTTACAACACTTGGGCATGTTGTCACATTTCACTTCCATTCTTTCGGGGTATAGCCTATCAAGAAAGAACTTCGAAATATACACTGTATTAATAAACCAAAACCACATAATTGTACTAGACGTGTGAAATTAATGTGGGGGAAAATAAATACTCTGAACCCTAAGTAGATTTACACAAATTGAGAAAGTCAAAAAGCGTTACGTTGTGCCCCGCTCTACCCTAAGCCTATTCACTCATCGTGCCCTCGAACCAGAAACTCACATCAAGCGCCAGACAGAATGCGAAATAGGTTTCAGCTAGGGTGAAACCACAACCAGTCTGGTGACGTTTTTATGAAAGCAGAACCAAAGTATGCAAATTACACCCCAAAGTAATTATAGGAGCAGCCGTAAAGGAGGCCGAAGAAGAACACATTGAGCTCATATACACAAGTTTACGCGCCAAATCATGGGCGCCGCCATAACTCTACTTAAATGCACTTCATTTCCGCCGGAAGAGGTTTGCACACAGCGTCTGCCGGTGTACACAGCGACGGTTCCACGACTGGAGATGGCGTTACTATCCCCCACCCGAATTCAGTGCAGAACACTAACATGACGACGTGGCCCAGCATAACGTACAGCGAGATTTGCTCCTACTTCGTGCAATCCATGGCAATAGATGGAAAAGCAATTGGACAATCTGAAAGCCGTCGAGGCATATCAATATCTGCACAGCAACAAAGTCGGTTGTGTCATGTCATACACAGCTAGATAAAACAGACATAACGTGCAAATAACTATCAGTTTATGTCCGTGGTAATAGCAAATGTATCTGTGTGTTACTTTAATGTTTCTTTTAACATAATAACAACAATTGTGGCTAAATAAGTGTTTGCAGTTTATAGCTTAATCAGGGAAGACATTTACATGATTATAGGAAATAAAAGAAGCATGTTGTTGCGGATGGAATACGTGTTTGTATTTGGAAAACGGACTGTAACCTATAACATGACTTACTGCTGAGCTATAAATAAAGACATGATCTCTTTTGCAATTATCCTTATGACTCTGCATTGTTTTACCTGCTGTGTACCAACCAACCATTTTACCGGTTAAAATACCTTTAAATGTCGAAACTAACCCCTTAAAATGCAGTAGCCTATTCTACTTACAACAAAACGATTGAAGCCTCTACTTATTGCAATAAATAATGCAATCACTTTTCGCCACCGTGCCGGATCTCCGGCGTGCGGCCGTGAGAAAAATATTTTCCCGATTCATTTTTGTCCAGCTTTAACGTGTTAAAATATTTAATGCAAACGCAACATCTGTTCTTTCTGTCAT